TTACTAGTAGCGATGCACTTGTTTCTAATAGCTTCTTGTTACTACTAGTATGGCACTTGTTACTAGTAGCGATGCTCTTGTTTCTAATAGCTTCTTGTTACTAGAGTGATCAATGCACCAGAAGATCATTGGGGCATGCAGCGCAGCCTTGGGCATGTTCATATCGTTGACCCTAGAGGTAGCAACACGCTGTTGATCCCTTTGTCAGTTGGCGCTACACAGGATAGTTGCTCTATCCAAGAGAGAGAACATGGAATCCTCAATACGTTAAGTCCCGAAACATGGAATCTGTTCGAATCCCAGACCTGTGCAACAGCTGCTGATATTTGTACGATATTTTTGCCTTGGGAATGCCTTGTATATCTTGTATGGAATCGATCATAGGATTTGCGTCACAATCTCATGTCAATCCCTTCAGCCTGGTACCGGGTTCCTCAGTACTTGTGCTGATGGAGCACTTCCCCAATGCTCCCTTTGTCTTTGTTCCAACCCTTCATTCAGGTCATCCATTTTCACTAGATGAGGACTGAATTTGTGCTTTTCTTTCCATTTTTTTGGCCGACTGAAACAGGGAAGCACCATGCACATACTGCAAGCTAGGCCCCTCTTAAAGCTTCTCACATACCCAGCCTCTTGCAACCATGCTCTCCTTTAGCCTTGACAGCATCCCACTACAAACCATCCCACTTCTACACCTCGGCTCCTTTAAAGGCATGAAGTGGTGCGCCTTCGGCTCGCCTCAAAAACGGCCGGGTGCGTTCGGACGTTCAACGTAGCAGGAGGTTCGGCTTGGAGCGATGAAAGCTTGGCATCACCAGAGCGCTTGGAGCCGCGTTTTGGACATCTTCAGGAAGGGTATCGACGGGTCGTGGGGACCTTCCTGGATGAGAGGTAGCTAGATGAGGCCGATGGGTTTGCTAGTGATGCGAGAAACCAAATCCAAAAAACATTGCATATAGACGTAGATGAATGAATTTTAAGTCTTTGTTTTGGTTTCTCCAGCTTGTTTGTGATTAACAGCCTAAGAGTTTTAAAGGTTTGCCACTCGCACGATCACTTGGGTTATAATATATGTTGACCAGAAGAGTCGCCTGCCGGTCATCAAGATTGTTTTTCTCGTAAGCCTTTGTTTTGAGTTTATGGCAGTGAACTTGGATTTTTCTTCAATTTGTCAGTTTGCTACCACGTTCCGATTTCGGCATGACTGAATCGCTGGATCCATCTCCGGCACTTGAATCGCACGGGATCATGATGGATCATGAACACAATGACACACACACACACAGGTCACGAAGTATACAGTATCGCTAGTAGGTTGGAGGCCATCGCTCTTAGGTTGGAGGATCATTGAATGATTTGAAGTGCCATGGAGTGACAAGTAGAGATAGTCGAGTGACATGTTGCTTCCATGATTTCCATGCAATTATTACATGGCAACCTGATCATTGTATGTCATTTTGCAAGCAAGTGCTTATCCAGGACCCTTGGCCATTCAGTGCCGAATAATTGTCCAGGTACTCGTACCCCACCAACAGAACAATCGTTTAGATCACCAACAGCAGAGTTGATCCACAGCCAACGTGTTGTCTATTGTAGTGGTGTGTTATTTGTCTTCCATTCCGACCTGTTCCTGACAGCCCTGAAACCAACACCACCAGGAGCTTGGGGCAACGCCCTCTTGCCGTGAATTTGGCCTTGGCTGCCTGCAAGGTGTGGTGAATGAGCACCAGAGGATGATGTGAGCTGATCCAGACAACAAGGGGGTTACAGTGTGGTGGTGTGGTGGTGGGATTTTCAGAATTTAGGACTAAGAAGAGATTTCACTGGGACATGATACGCAATAAGAGGCTGAAACTGGAATGATAAAATACGTAGTTTATCGTAGTTTGGTAAAGCATTATGGTGTTCAAACATCGCTATCTTGAAGGGAGAAAAAGCATGTTCTATAGATCATTGTATCCAGTCAAAGACAGTCACCTTGATGCTTCAGCCAGAAATGCACCATGCCATGGCTTGAGGCCGCTGGCTTGTGGCAGTTGGCCCTCCAGATCTTTTGGTCCTCAGAAATCGATGCGTACAGCTACAGCACCCTAGTGGGCGCCTGCTGCGAGAGTTCTCAGTGGGAGGCAGGGGACGGTTTCACGATCAATCTCGGATGAATTCGACCTAAGACCTACGGAAGTTATTGATAAACCAAACTAGATAGACCTTTTGGAAGACTAGTTTGATCTTGTTTTTATCAACAGAATGGTGTCACATTTCGCATTGAGTTGAATTCAATGAAGAATCGCTTTGAGTGGCTGCATAGAATCAGGAACATGTATATAGGGAAAACATTCCTGGGCAACAAGCTTCAACTTCTCTTGTTAAATCTTTGGCTTACCAGGAGAGCGACGCTCCCAGCAATCAGTAGCAGAACACCCCTTTCCAGCAAAGTAGCAAGTAGCAGCAGCTGTCATAATTGAGGATCTAGAAGTAATATATCGATATACAACGAAATAACTTGATTAGGTGTCAGTGTCATATGTTATATTCAGTGTTATACTCAAACATGATATATAATCTTAATGCATACAATTTCTTCATCGCGAACTCACTTAATTTAAAAAAGGAATGATTTGAGGCTTAGACAGGTTCTTTTCTAGCTCTGCCGTGTCATCTTGGTCCATAGGTGGCCTCGAGCTGTGCTCTTCCCACCGCAGCTGCCAATGTCTTGCTCACCTTCTTGGCAAGGTGACCGGGGGGGGGTCGGGCGAGAAGCCTCTTGGGGTCAAAGGGTAGGCTTCTTTACATCCCAGCCTTACGATCGTTTCTTCACCTGTACAAGGAGGTTGACCCACACTGAAGACACTGAAGTGAAAGGAAGAGTTGTGGACCAGGATTCACGAGTGGGTGAATCCCTGATATGGATGGATGGGCCCCTCCAGGACTTGAGGACTTGGAGATCATTTGGCAATTATAAGGAAGACGAAGACGGCAGACGGCTCACTAACATTTTTTAAGGTACAGGAGGCCACATCCCTGTGGCCTCGGAATTGGCAATTCCACCCTGCAGGGACCACACCTTGTGGCCACGTGCTTTGCAGCTCTTCAGCGCACTGCCGCCACTGCAGGCATGGCAGCCTGTCCTCACCGTGTGAATCTTTGTCAAAATGCGCCTAATTACGGAGTCTAAGCCAGTAAGCCGGCTGGCATACACCAAACAAATTGCAGACAAGACAATTGCAAGAATCAACGAAGCAGTGGCAGTGAACACAAACCGTACAAAACATGCACATGTAAACCTGTGCTTTTCCTGGGCTCCATTTGTCTCCACGGATTAGCTTCAGGTCCAGATCGATGAGATCAGCCACACAGCAGTTCTACAGGCTCAAGGTTTTCTGGCAGAAGTGAACCTCATCTTGACCTCCAAGAGAGGATTAAACTGAGTTCAAGCCTTTCTTGGAGGTCAAGATCCAAGAGCCAATGGATCAAGCGTAGGCAGCCTCACTACGTAGAGTCACGTAAGTCTGGGTGAAGAGGTCCTGCTTTGTCATGGATCTCCTAGTACTGCATGTTCGTCATTGCAACAGACGGTTGAAAATGGCACCAAGGTCAGAGTTTGCAGTGGTCAGGATCCTTCCAGATCTTGGAGGAGATGACGCGCAGGAGATGAACATGCGCAAGACTGCTGGCGAACCACAATGCAGGGAGGTGGAACAGGTTGTAGAGATCATGTTTGTGCTTCTTTGGGGCATATTGATCAAGAGTGAGTCAGGCACGAGGGGCTGTTTTGTACAATGAGGCATTATTGTTTGATTTGGACCAGTTCTTTGCTTCAGATGCTCGATGGCTTTAGACAAAAGCTGCAGGCTCTCTGTACTGTAGCAATGTGTGTTGTAAGGCACTACAGTGAGTTTTCGATTCGAGCATTGTGATACTGGTTCTTTTCCACGTTTTAATGTGGGCCTAAGTATAAAAGCCTTTTGTTTGAAAGAGATCCTGTGTTTGACATGGAGCAGGACTGTAGCCTCAGGGTAACCACTGGTTCAGCTCATTTGGACCAACGTGATCCATAATATTTGTTGCATAGATTGGATAGGAGATAGGAGTGATTTTATTGGGTCAGTGGTAGTCAAATTATCCCGCCTGATTCATCCGTCGTCTTAGAGTTGAGTATGGCGTCGCAACCATGGTGCCGCTGCCAATCCAAGAGTTGAATGCTTTGAGACAATCTCACTCTGGTGACACTCACCGTAAACGATGCCTCGAGTACATGTACAGTGCTTCTAGTTAGATGAATTAGCAATGGTCAGGGCACTAGAACTGGTCGTTTCATGAATGACATGTTCGATTGAACAAGTATGCATGTTCATGAGGTTCTTATGCCAACAAGCCATAACCGCAAAAAGCCGTTGCAGACAGTTGGACAGTTTCGTGACCAGGAGCCTTGAAGGAAATTGTGTGACCCACTGCGCAGCCATCGGCGCTCAAGGCCCGGGCATTTGAGCCTTTTGTTGTTGGGAGATCTCTCGTCAGCCTTTGTGTCGATTGATTGTTCTGAATTTATGTTCTTTAATCCTCGCCTGCACGATTCAGTGGGATTATGGCTGCTGACGACTGCAGACATGATTGCAGAACTGGCTTGCTCTAATGTCTAAGCAAAAATGCGCCCTCCAAAATTGCGCCCTCGGACGCAGTACCTGATAGTACCTGGCACAGTTTGGTGTCAAGAAAGGAGTTTTTGTGTAACTCAAAAAAGGTAAGTTTCCCTAAACATCTAGGTCCCAAATCATTAGTGCGAGGGTGAGCTATCCTGCGTCCCCGCTAGGAGCGTCCTAGTAGCTAGGAGCAAACTTCTCCCTTACTTAATTGAGTAGTAGAAGGGCAGAGGGCCGAGCGAGGTGCTCCAGTCCGGAAGAACCACAAACCACACGCACCAACGTCATTTGTACCAAAAGCGTCCGAAGTCACATGACTCCGTGTAAGACGTTGAAGCTGTTCTTTCAGGTGGTGGCCCCTGGCAGCAATCACTGAGGAGCGTGCGGCTTGTTTCAGGGGACTCTGGAGTGAGGAGGCTTATTCCCCTTCCACAATATCACACTGCTGATCCACATTTACACACTGATGAATGTATATATTATCTATTGTTTTGTTGTGCTCCTAATGGGGGAGACATGCCGCAGCATGCCGTCATAGCCCCGAAACAAATCTTTGACAAAAATTGTACAACATGCGCCTCCGGATACTATAGTTCGTGTCCCAAAAGCGAGTGCAAGCAGGCAAGCAGGCAGTAGGTGTCCATTTGCCTTGGCAGTGCGTCTACAGCCTGAGGCCCTTACTCATTGTCTTTCGACACGTTCTTTCTGGTACCAAATCTGAGTGACTAGACCATGTGCTTTGTTCAAAAGAAGAACGCTACTAGTAGCAAGAAGCTACTAGGTGGAGGCCATCGCTACTAGTAGTAAGAATGCTACTAGTATCACCGAGCCGACTGACATCTCATCGCTTTGCTCCAGGCCTCGCGAGCAACTCCCGCACGCCGACCTGGCCTTGTGGAACGCCCAGTTGGGCACCTGGGCTGAGGCAGGGCACCTGGCGCTTTTCAGTTGGACTCGAAGTCATAGCGTCCTTGCTCCTAGTAGTAAGGCCAGGAGCCCCTAGTAGCGTCCTTGCTCCGTTCGTAGCGATGCCAGGAGCCCCTCGTAGCGTCCTTGTTACTCGAAATCGTTTGAAACGTTTGGTACTAATTTGCAGCTTTGATGTGTGCTTTTGGTCGGGTAAGATGGGTAAGACGTGAACATGTTTGGCAAGACTATGCTTCTTTTGAACAACAATTAAATGCTTATTCATCAGAAAGCCCGAGATTTTGATGGTTAGATGACCCCAGAGGGAAGCACCATTAAATGGTTAGTTGATGTTAGTTGTTCTCATGAGGAGTTTCAATATATTATACAGACTTCTATGTTTTGCCAACTGGTGTGGGCTGCAACTAACAAGACAACCAAGATCAACCAAGTGACCAATTGTACACAGACTTGTAGATGGACACGGATTGGCGGAGCAAAATCCCTCAGTTTCCACTCAATGCCACAATATGACACAATGACATTCTAGATAGGCTTTCCATGTTTGTTTCCGGCGTTCTATGGCTTTGTAACGATGCGTGGCCAGCATAGAACCATTCTGAACATTGTGGCTTTAATGTCGACGTAGGATTAATCAACCTCCCCCCTTTCAAGGTCAACAAGGTGAACAAGGTTTGGGATTGGAGGGATTGGAGACCACATTCCCTTAATAAACATGATGACCTGATGATGGATGATGAGATGAGGACAAGATTGGGAAAGATTGGGATTGGGATGATTGGGATGATTAGGAAAGAGGAAAGAGATTGGAAGACAAGATTCTTTCTTTGATTGGGATGATTAGGAAAAGAAAGAGGATTGCGGGATGAAAGAGATGGAAAACACGATGGAGGCCAGAGGGTGGGCTTGATTAATAGGGGCGGTAGGGTCTGTGGAGGGGTACCCTTTGTGAGCTTGAAAACCTTAAGATTTTGATAGAGTTTTTAATAAGGGAAAATGAAATAAGTTTGCTAGCAAGTTGTTTGGATTTTAACAGGGAAGGATGAGAAGAAAAAGCAGGATGATAGACAAAAGGACAATGATAATGATATAGTCCCGAGTACCTATTGATAAACAATTAAAAAGCCACAACGTCCGAAGCCCTAAATTCGGCTTATATTTGATATTTAATTGCCGCCCTTTCAGAAACAAGCTACTAAACTACCAACATGGTCGATTTTGGGGGTAGTTTTTAAAATAGGTTCCCCCAAAACTCCCTCGTGACACGCTGCGTTTACACCATCCGGTTGTCCTTCCTCCAATGGCACGGACTCACGCAAACGCACTTGCCTCCGAGGTCGTGCAAAACCGCATGGCACAGCGACATCACCTTTCAAAAGCTTTGGTTGTTAGTCTAATGAATTAGTATTCTAATAAAGGTTTTTGTAGGGGAAAAGGAAGACCCTTCGATCTGGAAGTTTATTGAATTTTTGATACGAGTTTAATAAACGATTTTATATATATACAAAATTTGTCTGGATGACTTTTTGGTTTTGAAGCTCTTCCCAGGTGACCCTATTTTGGACCCCCCGATTTCAGGGACCCCCTATTAGAACGAATGCGGCCGAGTTTCTCTTATTAGGTGGGGGGCCCGGTGTTTATTAATAGGTCGAAGGGATGATAATGATTGATGATTGGTGGATATTGAATACGAGCAAAGAAGAAAGTAAATAAAAACAGTAAATATTAATACAGTTATATTGTGTTTTTTTCTGGTGCAGCTGGGCTTGATTAATAGGGGGGTTCTGGCAAGGAACGAAAATTATCAGGGGGAGGTTGCAGGGTTTTAATTAGTTTAGTATTGGAGGCTCCAGCTGGGCTTGATTAATTGATCCTACGTTGACATTTTGTTTTTCACAATACATCGCCCGCATATAAGCTACCTTCAAAAATCAGGACTCCAAACATATTGCACATAGACAACATATTATTGGAAAACACACATTTTTTCCTTCAGATCCTTGTTCCAAACTTCCAACTCTCCAAGTGAACCTCCAGTGGTTATCCCTGGAATCATCCCTCTTGTTGGAGTGTGCAATTCCCAAAGAGTCGTCACCTCCATGCGATGGCAGGGGCACTGCTGGCCGATGGTGCTTCAATCCTTGGAGGTATACCGGAAGACTTACTGAGTCGATCGATGGCCTTTTCGTTTCAGGTGTGGTTTATAGAAGCTAGTAGGTGGAGGCCAACGCAAGTAGGTTGGAGGCCATCGCTACTAGTAACAAGAAGCTACTAGTAACAAGGCCACATGATTGTCATATTTGTTGTAGTTCGATGGCCCGATGGGATTGTCAGGCCTCCAAACTGGAACCCGATCTCTCCAGCTATGCCACAGCCATGCGCTGTCTCAAGGCCTACCGCAACGCGAGTGATGTTGTATGTAGGCTTCAATATGTCTTTCAGGCCATTTTGGATTGGTGCATGCATGTGCTGCAAGCCATGGGCTGTGCAAGTCTCCCATTCAGTGCTCTTTTGTCCTGTGACGCATCAAGCGCCAAGACATCCCAAGACCATGACAACGTAGAATAGAAGTGTTTATTGGTCACCGCAGGAGGCTGGCCAGTGGCGACAGAGCTTGTACTGGTCAGGCATGCGGGGGGTTGTGTTTGCTGTCATTAGAAACTTGAAGACCTTTCACGTACTGTATATGTGACTCGTGTGATTTCAGGCTGTGGGATAGAAGGAGCATGTTTGAAGTCTTGCGGCCGTGCCTTTTCTGGTGGGCCGCGTGGCCACCAGATCTGGGTTTGGGATGTTTTGGACTTAAATGTGCCAGTCCTTTGCGGCGGAGGGGCTTCAGGACATGGTACAGTATATAGTTCAACCAGTTTTCCTGAGCCTCTTTGAAGAGCCTGCTTCTGCAGCAGCTCACCAAGCTAGTAACGTTTTCACGCACACATTTACAAGTTTGTTTGTCCAGTTTTGTCCGGTTGATTGCGAAAAGCAAACACATTGGTCATATTCCAAGGATGTCATCAACCTGGAGACCTTGGAACCACCCAATGTACCACCTGTAGCACTGTACCACCACGACTGTCCGGTTATAGGCCGCTACATGACCAAGACGTTGCAGCCCCTGAGCAGCACCTGCAGCGCTTGTGGCAGTGCGCGGCACTGGCAAGCAGCACTCCAGCTACCGTGGCTCGAACGCAAGACGGCGTTTTTGCTTGTTTGACTACCCTGTGAGATGAGTCACAGTCACAAGTATGAGTCGTATGAGTATCTAAACAGATGGGAATGGGCATTCCAGTCCAGTTGGTCAATTTTGATCAGTTGGATCATGTTGGATCCCATTTTTAGGTCTATTCCTTCTGAGCGAACATGCCGACCACACAACACCCGACCCCCACACGCCCACAGGCCTGGATTTACTCAAGGTTTTGCTACAATAGTCATAGTGAAGTTGGGGCATAGTGAAGCTTTTCATAGTTATTCCATCCATGCCACATAAGCAAAACCGAAGCCAACCGTTTCCAGACCCCGCACAAACAGAGGTTCATCTTGGCAGAGCCCATGGATGGGCATTTCCTCGGAGCCCTTATTTATGCCTGCCAGGTTGGGCCAAGCGGCGCGGAAGGGGGGGAGGGCCAAAAGCCTCTTGAAGTTGAAGGGGACGTATAAGAAGAACTAGTGGCATTTTAGTTTCATGTACAACAATCAAATCAACACACACCCACCATACCGAGCAGCAAGCTGTGATCACTTTGCCATCCAACAGCATAAACTGGGTTATCCAACAGCATAAACTGGGTTCACCAACTATCAAAAGGACTTCCAGCTCGTCAAGAAGATCATACACTTCGACGTAAGCTGCACGTCTCTCGCTGCTTCGTTTGCACCGAAGATTCGAGGGATTCGACGGTGCGAAGCGAAGGAAGCCGCCCAGTGGGTGTCAGCCTTGGCCTGTGCGAGGCATTGAGATTTCGTTTGCGGCAGATTGAGGCTGCGTCCAACAGAGGTTCTCTTGTAAATGTCCTCATTGGCAGGTAATTAAACTCATTGGCAGTGTATGATCAGTCGGATTCAGCAGGAGTAATTACCACTTATTATATACCTAACTGCTCCCCAGTCGGACTGGATTGTCCGTCGTTGATTCCTTACGAACTGGACAGCGCCACTGTGCTGCGAGGCCTCGCGGCAGCTTGAAGCCCTCAGCGGTTGGTTTGAATGCTGCCATCATCGCGTGCTCCCGGCAAGTGAGGGACAGGAAAGATATAGTGGAGATATGTGGAGATGCTGCAGCCTCACTTCATCAGTAGGATGCTTTTCCAAAAGTGTTGATTGTACCAAAGATACTGGAAGTAAAGCTATCCTGGAGCAATCTGAGAACTTGATTTAGTTTGCTTGGGATGAACAAGCCAAGAAATGCATGTTCAACCATCGGAAGCAACATCCAAAAAGATATAGGACATTATAGGACAATGTTATGGAGTTGTGTCCTCTCTTCGCACCATCTCAGTGCTCCCCAGGTGTGGAGAGGGACATGCCTGGGCCGAAGCGCTGAGTCTATGGCACGACTCTCGTGGCGTCCGCCGGGAGTCTCAAGACGGTCATAGATGTGAAGAAAAGAAACCTACTAGTGATGACCTCCAACCTAGTTGGGAGACTAGTCCAGTCACTTTTGCCGCCATTGTATTGATGCCGCTATGGCAACGGTTTGTTCTTTTGGCACGGACTTATGGCGCACTTGGGGACCGCAAATGATGTCGAGTTGAGGTGGAAACGACTTCACTGCTGCTGATGCCTGGCTGGAGTTTGGTGTTCAAATTATGTCCCATTTTGGTCTACCAGGCTATGCACCGCGGTGCATCTCTAAGAATTTTGGTAAGCCAGACTTGCAGAGAATGGATGCTGCAGGGATTTCGCGTTCTCGGAATCAGGTCTCCCATTATTATGTCAGGTCTATGAAATGAATCAGGCATTGTGCTGGATGTGAAGGGTACATTCAGCCGCCTCGTTGCAAGTCAATACAATGTCGGATTTGATTATATAGAGTATATGATGTATATAATATGACACAACAAGCAAGGAGAAGGAAATGCCAAGCATTAGGAGGACGAGGAGCTGCTGCGACCCAACAGCGGCAACACTGTCAGCAATCGCACGCAAAAAAGAATATATATATATATTTATTATTATTTAGACATGTATTTATGTGTTTAGTTATGTATTATACAGTAACTATTATACACGTACCTGTAGAAATCACAACTTGAGCATTTGAGGCAGTGATCGAGGCCCTGGGCAAGGCCAATGAGGTGCAGCTGGCACTGGAGCTGCTTCAGAGCATGGAAGGCAGTGGACTGTTTGAAGAGACTATAGTACACAGTTTTCGACAGTTCGACAGTTCTGGATGGATTTGGCGTTGATGGCTGCATGGGTGTTTGGAATTGCTGCATGGGGCATCGATGAGGATTCAGGAGAGCCATATCAAAGGGAGAACATGGGAGAACCCACTAATGATAACTCGTGATAGCTAATACACAGATGCGTAGATATATACAGTCTTCTAAGAAGATGCCAGAATGTGAATGCCTTTCATGCCCCTTAGCCGGTCATGGACTTCCACTTCAAGAAAAAATCCGGAGAACACAACCGACCGATCCTCCGCGCGCTTCGCTTCACCGGGAGGTGACCTCAGTGCGACGGCCTTCAATGCAGCCTTAGCTGTTTGTGCTTGGGCGGAGCAGAAAAGTCGCTGAAGATGCTTGGGGTGGAGGTTGAGGTGGCCGCTTGCACAGGCGGCTGTATGAATCTTGTGTTGAACATGATTGAAGATGTTTGAATGTTCGAGTGGAGCCAAGACAGCGCCAGCCAGGTCCTGTTTCCTCACATGTTTATTTTTGTCAATTGCATCATCCTGTGGTGCATTCACCGTGGGGCCAGATGCCTGGAAGATTTCGTTGGCTTCACGCTTTCAGCAGTCCCTATAGGAATTCCAATAGAACAAACCCCATGCCGAAGTTCACCGATGAAGTCCAGGACATCATGGTGAACATTGCCCAGTGGCGTCAAGCGCTCTATCGGCCGCCCACAGGCCTCGCATGGGATGTTGACGGTCACCTGAGCTGAGCTGTGACTGTGCTCAATTTGTTTGTTACAATTCAGATAGATTCACAGTTTGCCTTGAAGAAGCTCTTAGACCATCTTAGACCCAAACTTTCCCCACATCTCCCAACAAAAACAATCAACAGCTGGATGCTCCTTCCTTACGCATCCTTAGATATCCTTAGTAGATCCTTAGTGCTCCTCACCACTCATTTAAAAAAGAAACGGAGGGCGTCGCTACACGTCGCAACACGTTGCATGGCAGGTGAACTCTTTCACGCCTGTGGCCACTTCCCGTCACCCTGGGATCGCTACCGCGCGTGCCTGGGCGAGAAGTCGACTTCATTGAATGAAGGCGTCGACTTCTTTGGTATTTTCATGTATGTTCCATTGACAGTACGAGTGAAAAGTTATTTTTCTGCTGCAGTAATTGCTCGCATAGCTTTTCTCAAGGCGCCAAAGGGGCTGACTTGAGGACTTGGAAGGGAGGTTATTAATAAATACTCGTATATATATATATATATACTTACTTGTAGGCCTTGGCTTGACTTTGGATATCACCCACCAAGTGGCTCTGGTTTGACCGACCTGTTCGGAACTCCCAGAGCTGGAAGCTCAAGGTCTGATTCGGAAGCTCTTTGGTCCATTGATACTCCAGACCCATGCTTTGTAGGGACAGTTTACTAATCTGCACATGATACGTCGTTTGGTGGGTCAGGGAATATCCAACAAACATTCACATATCATGTGCAGGATTCTGCAGGATTATGATTTACTTTGTGAATCTTGTCATAGACATACAGTATATGATTCTGATGGCGGTTGGGATAATTACCATTCTTGATTCTTGACTTTGTGTTTTCGTACACGGGACAGGTGTCATTGGATGATCCGAGACCTGACAAACTCACTGAATGTTCTTGAACGGATTCTCAACTCTTAAATGTCACGATGTTCTTGTTCTGGACCGCCACATCTTTTCTACTTGGAAGACGTTTGAATACCCCTTGGTTGCAGGTTCGCAGAAAAAATGTACGCCCTCTTCACCCTTCCACATATATGTTCCTTTCTTATCCCTGCGGTTCAGCCTTCACAACTTCGTGTTTTCGTCGGATTCACCACTTTGTGTTTTCGTCTTTGAGCTCCACCGGTCACCTTCGGGGTTTTCTGCGTTGTTCCTCACACCTTCTCGCCTGGCCACGAAGAACCGCTACGTTCGCCTTGCCCAGGTGTGAAGAGGCGGACGAAGGCGATCGGCGTTCGTCGTTGGCTCCGTGGACGGGGATCGTTGATTTGTGGTAGTCGAGTAGCAGGTCTGAAGCTTTGTATGTCGTTCCTTGAAATTGCCACGGATTGATATATATGTTGATGCGTCCGCTACAATGGGCCAGCTGGTCTCACTGTGTTGTTTCAGGGTGGCCACGCGGCCACCGGTCTCGCGACTCCTCCACGTGCAATTGCTGTAAACTGTAACTGTAAACGGTTTCACGAGTCAGAGATGTGAGAAAGCTGAGGCAATGATAGCTAAGCCATTGTTGCAGCTGCAGCTTCGCTTGCGGGACATTTGACCTATTGCCTTAAATAACAATGGACTCTCAGAAGACTTGGGATGAATCGTTTGGTTCACCACACGGAGGATATTCCAGCTTTGAAACTCTGACCAGTCGTCTCGCGTAGCTGGAAGATGTGACTCCTTATTACATCCCGCCATTCGTGCCTCCTGGCAAGGTGAAGAGTCAGAGGTGTGCTGTCAGCAAACAGAAAAGCAAGAGGAAGTTGCTTGCACAGTGTGAGTCTTGCGTTTTGACAGTTTTGCAGGCTGAAAGTGGCTTCAGAAAATATAACACCCGTCCCCTCAACCTGAAGTCTAATAAACATTCTATGAGTAGTATTCTAGGATATTCTAGGTATGATATGATACGGCAAGATATGACTGTATCGATGACTTCTGACTTCAACAGAAGGAATGTGTGTGTGTGCATATAACTTGATATACTACAAGCTTTTATGTACTATACATTTACATACGATTACTAAAGTTACGATGTTCTTGTCAGCGGGCTTTACACAGACTGGAATCTTTGCATTGGTTTGAGACTTGGTGCATCCTTGCTTCCAGTTTTTATTACTTCCAAGCATTCGATGGCTGTGTACTTTATCCAGGTAGAAGCAGATGATGTAGAGGAGGATGCTGAAGATGATGGCAAGGAGCCCATGTACTGTGCTGAGCACATGCGCCACAGCTGGACAGACAACAGCATGTTAAGTCGAGTCATCTACCTTGTCAGAATAATGTTTAGTACAACTGGTAGAGCACCCCTGGCAGGTGACTGGATCATACCTTGCTTTTGCTTCCCTTTCATGTTGCAATGTCAACGTGGTCACTTGATGGGCCGCAGACAAGTTAGATCAAAGAAGCTACGCATTCCGCTAAGCCCATCTGCACCTGCCATGCCCGTGGAGCCGGCAGCTGATATGTTCGGCAAGGAAGGAAGCACGGTGCAGGTCGTTTGCAACCACTTTGTATTGAGGATTGAGGTAGGAATGCAAGCGAAAAAGATCACATGATATCATCGGAGTGTGTGCCTTGTTAGACGTTAAATGTTGGAAGCAAACTATGAAATGGCATGAAGTAGCAACCATGGGCGGTAGTTAAAACATGCTAAAACATGTGAGTGTGCTGTTAACAGTGTCCTGATGATACAGAATAGCTTTTGAAGGAAGAATTCCCTGAAGGCGCCGGAACCATGGTGTGCATGGCAGGTGCAGATGGACTTGGTGGGTGCTCCCCGCAGGGGTGAGAAAGAAAGGACTCCGCCTATGACTGTTGGGATGCGACAGGCGGCGATGAAGAACCTTCTTCAGGACCCACAAGCTGTTACGAGTTACGAGTTCAAATTATATCCAGGTTGTAACAGTGTTGTTTTTGACTCATATATAAATAGGTGCAACTTGACAAAGGATGTTTCAGACGAAAACCTTTCATATGCTTTCGGAATTATTATAACTTTCATATGCTATGCAATAGTTTACGTATAGTATAGACAGGTCCAGAGACGGGGAGATGGATTGAGCGAACGACTGATTGAGCGTTTTGGACCGCATTACACCATCAAAGGCAGGCCCAGGGAAGAAAGAAACATCTGAAGATGGGGGTTCATCACGATGGCCCGGGCTTCCAATGTGCAGTTGATTCAATGGCATCAACGCCAATGGACCGCCAGGACCGCCAGGACCTCAACGCTGCAGATTGGTGCTACGATGGCGACCTCCGCCTGTACACCAGAACGGCGACGGTGCAGGTCATCCGTTCGTCCAGCACATCCACAGTGCAGCTGCGCAATGCCCAAATTCAGGTGAAGATCACCGAGGTCAAGGACAGAGGTACCAGAAAATGTGTTGGTTTTAATATGTTTTGATAGTATCCAGATCCCAGATAGATAGGACGAATGGTTTTCAAATTTCAATAATGAATATTTCTTATATAACCAGAATGTCCAAGTTGTTCAAAGTAGGATTGCAAAGTAGTAGACGGGTAGGTTCAGGAGGTCCTACATATGGGCTTGAAAAAGCCTCTTGACAATCGAAGAGGTCTCGCAGATTTCAGTCAGAATGATTACAGGTGTTTGGTCAACACATTTTGTGTGGGTTAGGTCCATGTCGTTTTTCTAAGATTTGCAGAGTTTAAACATGTTCTCTCATGGTGCTTTGTGAGTGCTGCTGATTGTTCCGGCTTGCATACACACTGCTTAATTACACGTGGTGAAAGGATTCAGCATTTGACGTGAAGATTCTCTGCTGGAGGGTTTGAAATCATCCACTATTTCTCAAGATGTGAACAAATGACTTGTAGCCGCAGGACCCAAATGGAAAGCACCAGGAGCTTGACTTGCAGAGACTCGATACTGAGGAGCTGCGGTTTATACATGTGGCAATGAAACAGGACTCTCATGGCGACGAGGAGAGGGTGGTGGTTGGCCAGAAGGTGGTTTGTCCGAAGCTCCAACTGGCTTGCATGACGGAACGTTCTTTGCTGTATGGCCGTGAGGTATGGATGGGTTACTGGGTCTGGAACATCTACAGTATGTTGATTGAACAATTGTTGACAATTCCATATTTATGATAACAGTGTAGAAAACACATATCAGTCAACACATCATTGACACATCATCCACTTGTCCCATCCTTAGATTCACATCATTCTGGAAGTGTAGAAATGGCTTGACCAAGCATTGGCAATGCTCCGCAGCTGTGAGGCTACATGGCGATGGTGCAGCTTGTGCAGAGCAGAAGGGGAAGAACTCCAACGCTGCTCTTGAACCTTGTTTCAAGTGTGGGCCTTCCTGAGATGCCTGCGATTGAGCTTTTGGCACATTTCCTGAGGGGGAAATGGACCAACAAGGAGTGGATTGAGTATTTGGGACAGGGACACGGTGAGCGAGATGTGCAAGGAATCATCGACACACTCAATGGTCCACTGGGTATGCGTGGATTGCGCGTGCAGTATCAGGGTAAGAAGAAGATTGTGAGTGGTATAACTCAGAAGCCTGCTCGTCATCTCTGGTTTTCCCATGCGGAATATGGCAATGTTTCTGTGCAAGAGTACTTCTTAAAGAAGTACAACACGGAGTTCCCTGTGTTTGCATCAGATGTTTTTTTATTTTTTTTTCAACTGTCTCAAATAACTGCATTAGACCAAGTAGTGTATGGTGTAATTACAGTGAACCTTTGCTGTAAGGTTTGTTCCAATTCTATCATGTTCTAGTTCTATCTCCATCCGAGGCTGAAGTATCCACACTTGCCATGTCTTCAGTGGGGCCAGTCCTGTGTCCCCATGGAGTTGGTGACGATCCTTGGTGGACAACACAACATCGAGGCTGGCAAGCAGAGGCCAGAGTACCAAGCGGCACTCGCCAGGATGACTTTGAGCCCCCATGATTGGCTGCAGGAAATCCAGAGTGCTTTGCAGGCAAATTTCTAAGGGATGATGTCCATCAAGCATTTGTTCTATGGTGCATTCTTTGTTGTTTGTCTCCTTTGTGCATGTTCGTTTCTGCTGGTCTTTCAGATTTTAGTTTGTATGTGCTTTTTGTGTGTGTTCTTGTGTTGGACACTTTCAAGGGAACAACCATTGAAATTATATATAGCACGGACGTCAATTACACCATCATAGAACTCTAGTGGTTACTAGCACAACCTCAATAAATATAGCATATGCATCAGGTACTCAGTACATGAGCAATGTAATTTGGATACCATAATATGATACTCTACACAAATTAGGCGTAGTCCAGTTTGTGCTTAAAGTCTCAAAGACCTCACTAGCTGAGGTCTATGCCAAAACCAGCGCTTTGGTCCTCAAACGTCGTTGCACAATCTGGGCCTCGAGGCAGACGGCCGAGCGTGGCCGGGATCCCGGGGTCACCGGGGGTGTTTGGAGGCGGTTACGTGAGCGTGGTCCAAAAAAGGATTCTCCCTATGTACAGTAGATCATTGTTTGCAAACAACAGTATTCCCAAAGGCCAGCTGATGAAAGATTGAGCAGAGCTGCTGGTTCCAATAGCTGCTGTAGCAACAGAAATAAGAATATGATAACGATGCTACTCTACACGATGAGAGGTGACTTTAGGACTTTGCAATACTTAGGGACTAATGCACTGGAGCATACAAATTTCAATCCTGCAATGCCAATCATAGAAGGCCCTTTCTGGCATGTTGATTGTGTTGGTTGCAAACTTAGACATGTTGTTCTGCTTGCGACATGCCTTCTTCTCAACCATGTCGCAACGACCAGGTCACACTTGAGCCGATGATGGTGATCGGACGCGTGCTGCCTGCACCAGGTTTGCAGGCGAAGAACTCTTCGCTACTGGAGCCCAATAGCTATGCCAGGGAGGTGCAGGCGCCTGGTGACGATAACAGTTGTGACAAATAGTTCAAGAAGACCCCATAGTCTCGAAGGTCTCGGTGTTTTTGAATGTGTTTGACACTCGACGGTCTGAATCGACGGTCTCGGCCTGAGAGACCGGTCTCGGGCATGTCACTGTCCGAGGCCATTGCTCCGCCCAAGTTTCAGGTGAGCTGGGGTGTTTGGTGCTTTGCCAGCCAGGGGCAGCAGAGCGATCTGGACTGGTTCCTTGAGGTTGGGGGACGAAAGTTTCCGATGCTTCTTGTTTGTGGTTGGAGCCCTGAAAAAATGACAACACGACACTACTTCACTAGGTCGAAAGGAGCCTTACCAGTAGTTTTGACTTGCCTCAGACCAGGAGTGGCAGCGCAAGGGACAGCATCACGGCATCAACTTCGCCCCAAAGCCATACCCGAAACTTTGGGGACATCTTGTGGAGGAGGAGGATCAAGTGAAGGATATGATCAGCAAGTTGCTTCAAGATCACAAACGTCCTAAGTTGCTTTTGGTTCTTCTGCCTGGCAAAGGCAACACCTTCTACCCGTGTCTGAAGACCTTGGCTGATACAGTCCCTGGCTTTGCCACTCAGTGTATGTTGTGCCAAGGGAAACGAGACCAAACACAGTTCCAAGCCTTGTCCTCCAAGCTTGACAACGTGCTGCTCAAGGTGGTCAACAAGCTTCCTTCCACGAAAGACGCAGGTGCCGCTCACAGTGTAGAGCTCGCCCAGCCACACCGCATCTTGAGCAACTTGCAGTTGCTGGTAGTATTTGTTGTTTTGTTCCAAGAGAGTAGTGGCATGGGCTGATACTTTGGGCTCGTACTTGTACTGATTGCAATGTCTCTTGTTCTTTTGAACCGAGACAAAGGCTCCAAGACGATGGTGATTGGAGCTGATGTCACCCATGGTTGCGGAGGCCTATCAGTGGCAGGGGTGGTGGGCAGCTGTGATGGCAGCTTCGCCAGCTATTTTGCCATCCCGCGTGCGCAAAGCCCTTTTGCCCTCAATGGGGAGAAACGACGGAGCCGACGTAGCGAGGAGAGGATCGTGGAGTTCGAAGACATGGTTCAGGACGTAACAGCGATGCGAACCGTAAATTCATATTGATGTCAAAAACCTATAGTTGAATTTTGTTGATTACGTGGTTACTGAGTTGGTTGGGATGTTGACTTTAAGTATTCGTTTAGTAGCGGGCCTCCAGCAGAATCTTGCGAATCACCATGGCAGCGCTAGATTGGCGCTAGTTTCGCGGTTGATTTTTCCTTGTACATGTGTTTAGAATCAACATAATTCATTTGGTTTTGGCAGCATTTGGTTTGAAAGCCTTTTTGTCCTGCATCATGGAGTATACAAAGTACACTGTACTGGGGAGAACACAGAAGCGAACTCTGTGATGTGTGTTGCTCTTATCTCAAACAGGAAAAAGCTGAGTTTTGTGCGCTAGACCCGCGCCGCTAGCATGTGCGCTAGGTTTGCGCTAGCACAGTTTTGAAAGGTGATCAGATACGTCCATTTGTCCTGGAAGCAGATCTTTGCCATTGCTACTTTGAGAGCTTGTGTCCATGTCCCTTTTCTTTTGAAATTCCTCACAGCATGGCCAGCTCTAACCGCTTAGAACCCGGCCAGTGCCGCCTTTTAAAAAGGCAAGCCAGAGATTCCTTTTAAAGTGCCTTCGCACTAGCTACGTTTGCAACGTTCTGCACCTCCCAGGCACCCTCTCTGAAATGTATTGAGCAAGAAGCGCGCCCCTATCAGAATGACTTTTACAGCCGCTTTCGGGGAAAGACATGTTGACAACCAATCATATATAGTTTGTTCGGTACAGATCAGCGTACGTCAGCGTGCGTGCATGATTCCCCACCTGTCAGGTGAGGGTTGTCAGATTTTATGTCAGCTGCCTCGCTGTTCTCCTCTCCTTTGCCCCCCCTCGTCCTCCTCAACCGCGAATGTCAGATGGCAGCGTTCCCTGCCGGACCTCAACCGCAAGTGTATCGGACGGCAGTGTTCCCCACCGGACCTCAACAGCCAGCTCTGGACGGCAGTGTTCCCCGCCGGACTTCAACCGCGAGTCAGAAGATATGCCAGAATGTCAGAACATATGAAGAAGATATGTCAGAAAAATGTCAGAAGAGATGCCAGAAATCATATCAGAAACAATGGCAAAAGATATGCCAGAAAGAATGTTAGAGAAGATATGCCACAAATAATGTCAGAAGACTTGCCAGAAATAATGTCAGAAGATATGTGAGAAAGAATGGCAGAAATAATGCCGGAAGATGTGCCAGAAAGAATGTCAGAAGTCAGAAGAGATGCCAGAAATAATGTCAAAAGATATGCTGGAAAACATGTTAGACAGGATGTCAGATGAAAGAATGTCTGAAGATATGCTAGAAAAAATGTCGGCAGATATGCAAGAAAAAGTGCGAGGAAGAAAGAACAATATGCCAGAAATAATGACAATATAATGTTTCAATACTTGCATGCCAAAAATTTTGTAAGATTGAAGTGTCAGGGTGGGGATCACTCGTAGTAAACTAATTTGTGTTTTTAAATTTTACTTTGTTGTTTTGTTGCAACCTCCTCGTCACTCCCGCATCCAGGAAGTGCATCCAAAGTTCGTTTTTGCCCTTCCACTCGCATCATTGATTTGTTGTGTCACTTACTGATTGATGGCATATTGACCATTGTAATGATTTGCAACTAGGGTGTCCTGCCAGGACGCGCAAATTCATGTCCAGTTATAGCGGTTCCAGTAGAATAGCAAGTAAAGGGAAACTTTATGGTTTGTTATCATGTGTGTTGAATAGGGGTATTCGCTGCAGTTCATGTAGTGCTACCATCATACACAGACTAACATAATACACAGATAAACTCTGTCAGAGGGAGTTGGTCTAAATGTTATTTTTGAGCATTGCTTACAGTTATCCCTTGTGATTTTCTGAGACAGTGCCACCTTTGCAGGACTTGTTGCAGCTTTGGAAGCGGGACAATGGAAGTTTCCCTGAAAACATATTGTACTACAGGGATGGGGTTTCAAACGGTCAGTTCAGCCAGGTCTTAAATTACGAGATGGCTGCGATGGACAAGGCCTTCCAGAAGTTTGACATTCGACCCAAACTTTTGGTTCTCGTATGTCAGAAGCGGCATCAAACCCGCTTCTGGAAGAAAACTGACAGCAGCAGTTGCAAAGGCAAGGGCAAGGGCAAGAATTGTAAAGGCAAGAGTGTGGAAGGTCAGTACGAGAACGTGCCGCCTGGTTTTGTGGCAGATGAGGGCATTGCCGCCACATCGGGTTTCCCGAACTTCTATTTGGTCGCTCATAAAGGCTTGAAGGGCACATGCCGTCCCTGCCATTGCAGCTTAGACTTCGTTTGTGATGAATGATGTGTCACAAAGCCACATGACATGTTGTTCCAGTAGCAGCTGTATCTCTTTCGTTAAGGCCTGCTTATCAGCCAATGGCCAAGACAACTGCATGTCATTCTGCAGTGCGAGGGTCACGGGGTTCTACACTGTGATGCCCCGCGTTATAGAATTGCTAATTTGATGTTACTTGCAACGTGTGCAAGGAGTACTGCCATTTTGGATGGAGTTGGAGTCTAATACTTTTTGCATTTTTGGATCGGACACCTTCCACTTGTCATCATTTGTCCAACAAATATTATGTTCTGTAGACAAATGTGAACTTGTCCTTTCTTAGTTTTTGTTATTACGTAATAATTTGCCGTAGTGGTTGTCGCAGACATATTGATGTTGCTTCTCCTTTGGGTTTATGTATTCCCCATAAGAGAGATACAGATACAGATAGCCCAATCTCTAGGACTCTAGGTCATCAGGCGCCTGGGTGTTTGGAAATTGTGGTTGTTGTGGCCAGCAGCACACAAGGGCCCACCTTCGTTTTTGGCACGTTGGAAGTTCCACACTCTTCGTTCCACACTTTGGAGTCGAGCTGGAGAGTGCTTTCACTCTCGAAACACCGGTGTTCCACACATCGTAAGTCAGGTCGAAACACCCACACACGCAACTCCGGCATCGCGGAATGCATGGCCTTTACACCCTTTCTCTTTTGTTGTTGGCTGTTTGTGGCAGCCAACGTTTCAAACTCGAAGCACATCCAATGGAACGTAAATACCCCCCCACACACACACCCACATTCCCATCTTCCAATGCATTTTTGGTGTGTGTGTGACATCATTTGCGAAAGCATCTGTGTATCTATAGTCATCCTCGAAACACGTCCGAACATATAAGCCGTTGCCGCCAAAAAGCGATCAAAAAGCACCAGGTGCCCAGCAGCGACCATTGCAACTAATAGTAGAAAAGGGATGCTAAAGTCTTGTTGAAGTGACGGAAGGCGCGATCAGCCTGCTCACCAACCAAGATGGGCACTATTGGGCACTGCTACTCCATACGTACATAATATTTGCTCTGAAACAGATCGGAATGTTGCAATGCTGTCTTTCTACATTAGCCTGCATTGGAGAGACCAACGACTATTTAGGTAAACACATTGCCCGTTGTCCCAAGGTAGCGTTCTGCACAATGACCTTAGCCTCAACATGGATGATGTACAGAGGATCACATACGAGCCCTGGCCCACAGCTTATAAATTGTTGCTTAACATTGGTGTTTTTTGTCCTTTCTCCTTTTTTGGAAGCTGTTCAGATGAATGATGTTTGGATGAATCATGATGAATCACGGTGGTGGTTTGTGGTGTGGACTGAATTGCAACCACAGGAGCTATGCCACTTGTATTCTCGCGCGGACAAGACGGTGTCCTACCCAGCCCCGGCCTACTATGCTGACCACTTGTGCGAGAGGACAAAGTTGTACCTTGAGACACTCTATAAGAGTGACATCGGTGATAGCGATTCCACAAGCACGGAGAGGATAGTCCAAGAGGCCACACATGACATCCGTCCACGTCTTTTCAAACATAATGGATCCTTTTGTCACGGTTCCAGGGCGACCGCAGCAGAAAGCTAGCATGCGACCTGTACCCCCAAACCGTACATTTGTTGCGTTTCTGGGAAGATGAGTGACCATTCTCGAGACCGACACAAGACACGGTTTTGCGTCACCCTGTGAAAAAGAGCCAACAATCCAGCTGAGAGGCGGAAGAACGCGTCCAAGAGTTCAACCAGACGCATGCAAAGAAGCTTGCTGCTGAATTTCAGCAAGGTCGACACTTCTTTTGCTGAGGTTGACGCAAGAGGCCATTGGCATGCTGCAGGCTTGCTAGCGTGAGTTCGCCCAAGACATTGTAGTCCTTGCAGTCCCGGACTCCTCCAGTGTTGTCGAAGGTTAGCTTGTCGAGGCTGGCCGCTGCCGCGGATGGCAGGGCGGTGCACCCGCCACCCGGGCCTTAGCGAAAAGTACAGAGCTGGGCCCGTGACATCAAAAACATTTACCAAATGGAGAGAAAAACTGGTGCGTAGTGACTGGCTTGCTAACTCAATGATGCTACGGCAGGTTTCGAAGAATCAGGTGTTGTGGTGACTTCAAAGACATTCATCCACGATCTCAGCAGGAGAAGGCCTTCTCCACCATGCTTTGTCCTCAGAGTGCTTGTTTGTCAGAGTGAAAAGCTTCAAGCATTTTGTTGTTTGCTCCTGTGTGCGGAGCATATGTATACTGTATATTACAATACAGTTGGTAATTCAACTTATCGGGTATGGACCGGTTCAGCAGCGTGGTACTCCTTGACAAGGTGGAAATCGGTTGAGCAAAGGTTTGCTATTGTGACTGGGTACTCCAGACAGAGAGAGGATTTCCATGTTTGATATGTCCCGATCTTTTCTGCGGGCAAAAAAACTGAGGCATATCCCCACAAGGTCCAAGGATACGAACTGGGAAGGCACGCGGTATCCGGCCAACTACTGACTGACTCTGTGACTTGTCCACGGGCATGCGGCGCGAGTCCAAAGGATGATGGTACGGCATCACAAATCCCGGGTCGTATGGGAGAGGAGTTATTTTAGGATGATCCCTTATGTCTGCTTTGTTTGGTATGGAGAATTCACACCCGCTTGGGAGAACCACCAGCTTTGCAGTAGAAGCTGGAGTTGCCGTGTTTTTCAATCGACTCCAACTGATATATTTATGGATCAGTATGCCCACTGCTCCAGGCAGTCCAGTACCGTCCCACGGCGCCCCTCTTCTGCGAGGTCTCACTTGTTTCGAGCAACTGATGCTGCTGAAGGCGAGTCACGCAGCTGGGACCTCCAAGTCTAAGTGTATCTCAGAAGGCCCACCTAATGTACTCCACCTGCACACCTATGTCCACTGTCCACGGTACAAAGCCAACAGTGAACAGATCAATCCATCTCTGACACTGGGTCTCTTGGCTAGTCCGCCTGGGCCAGGTGCTCCAGCCAGACGGGATGATCCACGCGCTCCGGGGCTTCGTGGCGGAGGTGAGGGGAGCTGTGGAGATTTCAGCAAACCTTTGCATGAGTGCTTTTCGCTAACTTGCCACAACCGGCTCGTCCTTCGATTTTGAACGACGTTTCAAAAAACATGTTGGTTAAGGCAACCTGAATCAGGGGGCAGGTGTATGTCCTCCTTTTCGGGACTCCATGTTCAACTAAACTTGAACCATTTGAACCTCTATTTGTTTTTGGAGGCGCGGCGTGACCCCTAGCCATGCGAAGATCAAACTGACAGGCCCATAATCGCCTTTGTTGATGGCAGATTCAAAAACGCACCACGTGAAGGTATCGGCCGGAATCGTTTCGACAGAACCAAGACGTTGTTGCTTCCTGCTCCTCAGTGCTTGACCGTGTGATGGAGGTCTTGGACACCTCAGTGCTGGAGATGCAACCCTTGCCCATCGTTCAGGCACGGAAGTTGCTGTTAGAGATTCTGATTTTTTGGGGGGCGGTTGCCAGGGAGCTAGTAGAATTTGCTAGAAAGCTGATTGCCAAAAAGAAATGAACAAACTGATATGAACTGAGAATTTATTTGGCATGAACCATCAACGTTTTACTTTTCTTTCCAGAAAAGGAGTGCATGAAGTATTAGCTCGGCAGGCACAAACCAACAAGGGTTACTCACTGGGTTGGCGGTCCCAATTCCATCAGAAAACAAAATAAGAGGTCATGAGTCATGCCAGGAGAATCCACCCAAACCTTCGGAGATCACAAACGGGCCATTCAAGAAGACACACGGGCATTTGACTGTCCCTTTCAAGACCAGTCATCGCTTGGGTGGATCGAACAGAAAGCTCGCACTTCGAGACCATCCGCGGCGCCGTGGCGAGCTCGTGACCGTTGGTTTATCCAAAGGATCGTTGTCAGAGCCAAACACGACACTCAACCAGACATAGCCAAACCTGACTACTCTGGCGCCAGTGACAACATGCGTAACAGGACGTAACAAGCATCTTGCCCCCAATCTCTCTTTATAGATGCCATTGACTGGATGAATAACCTTACCAACGGACTCAAATACGTTTACAAAGCCAAACAAACCCCGAGAATTCAGAAACTTCAACCTAGGTAAACATGTTTGTTTGAGTGTAAAACTGAGTGGCCTCTCAGTTGAATTGTTGCAGACAATCGCTAGAATGAGAATCCGGTGTTAGTATCACCATAAAGCCCACCCACCTGTCAGATGATCAACAAAGCTCCATAGCCAATACCTCATTGGATTTGGGATCAGAGAGTGCCCAGACTCGGAGTGCTCCAACTCCACCGAAAAAACCCGATGATTCTCTCCGTTGAGGCCCTGGACGAGCTGCAGGCCGGTCGATTTCGGCGCGGCGAAGCAGCGTCGACGCCATCACCAGCGTCGATGCCAGATGAGTTGGCCGGTAGCTTTTGTCATGTTGGTAACAAGGACGCTAGTGTTACTAGCTCCTGGCATTGCTACTAGGAACAAGGGCATCGCTACTAGGAGCAAGAAGCTACTAGGGTGCGTCTTTGGATTGATGATAGTCTAACCAGAGCTTTTTGAAATTATATACCAAGTATAGTATAGGGTGCACGCTCGCGGCACCTTGGCACCTGTTGCCCATGCAACATGAATACAAACACTTGGGTTCCATAAGCTTCGTTGGGAATCTAATCAATCAGGTGGCTCACAGGGTGGGTTGGTACCACCGTGACAACTTCACCTGGTGCGAGGAATGACAAATTCTTCCAGGGAGAAACATGTCTTCCTGGCAGCTCGTGTACCACTTGCAAGCGGCTGGCTAAAAGGATTCATTTGCCGGCCACGCCCCTCAGGACTCTTGGTTCACATCACAAGAGCTATTTTTGGGTGAACCCCCATTCGTTCAACACCACCTTGCGCTTTGAGCCAAGAGTTTTGACTGGCTACCGGCTAGACATCAAGTACATCCCGCTTTGGGCTTTGCCAGCGGAGGAAGTTCAAGGCCACCATCGAGCCTTGCTGGTGCCAAGCTCAGCAATTTTGGCACTCAAGATGAGCCACTGTAGAGTCTACAGAGCACCCTTTGCTGAATGATTTCTTACAAAGATGGGTATGCCGAGATCCGCTTGAATCATCTCTCCTGCCGTGAGGTGCAGTCCAAGGACAGCTTCTTGTTTGCACTCGTGGGCGCCCGATCTAAAGGACGAAGTCATTCGACGGAAGGGTCCTGCGTTTGGCCATACTGTTTCGATTTTGACGTTACTGGTCCCATCTCAGTGGTCTATACGTCGAGATCTTCGCGTCGTGCGATCCGAATGAAGCTTTGCCGGCGAATGAAGCGCGTCTCGTGGTTGGATGTTGTTACTGTGGTGCACGTGGGGGATGTTGATTTGTTGATTGAAGATGGCTATTCGGGCATATACGTGCTATACCACAAGTTGCAATCCAGCCATTTGTTGTGCCAAGACACTCCACTCGTAAAGGTGATGCATCAAGCCCCTCAAGTTTCTGCAGTGGCTTTTACCGAACACTTTAGCCTTATATACGAACGACTGCGATGTCAATTGCCTCGAAGCCTTACAACAGTTGGCCCGTCTTTTTGCTTGAGCTCAATGTTAGTCAGATGTAGCCAGCGATGCTGCCAGAAAGATCCTGAGGCTCCTCGAGCCAGTGCCCCTCGATCTATGAGGAGCTGAAGGCCGTGGGCAAAGACCTCTCCACAAATGATATATATATATATAATTATATAAATATATACCAGATACTCAGCAGGCCAACATTGTGCTGGACTTTGCTTTAGGCAAGCTTGCAGCTTGCTGGACTTTGGAGAGATTTTGTTTTGTGTGATTCTTGGCTTGTAGGTTAACCTGCATGTTTGCAATTTGTACATTGCTTGCGATTGTTCATTGGCCAGCATGTAGTTTAGTAAATGTAGCCTTCTCAGAACCTAGCCCAAGCTCGCATTCTTGCCAGTGCTTGCTGTCTTCAAGAAGTGTCTTCGATTTGTTTCAACCCCCTTCTTGTGGAGCCGAGTTTGTTTGTTGTGGCGTTTGTGAGGCCGCAGTGGATCAGCGTAAAGCCACCAAGGAAGGAAGGTACGCAGAGAGGGGGGGTGCTTGGACTGAAGGAACTTGCGCAGCGAAGTAGTGGAAATTACTGTAATGTCTCAACCAAGAGCAGAAAACCATCAGGATAATCCAGGATAGGATTTCAAGGGCTTCAGCATGTATGTCAGTAATCAATCTTGCCCACCTCGCTCTGTGAACTCAGGGTCTTCAGTCCTTCAAACGTTCGTCACGAAGCAGTCGTTCTTCACGTTGGTCCAGACTCCAGACCTTCACAACTTCTTGCGATGGTTGACCGTTTGCGGTCAAAACAGGCTGGTCATTGGTTGCCGAGGCGTGCCCATTTGGTGCGCTGCTCCCCGCTCCAGAGTATTCAGCACGTTGGGCCACCAAGGAAGTATCAAGAGCAGTTCAAAGAAGTGTCAAAGCATCTCTAAGGTTTCTTGTTCATGCGATTCAAGTCCTGTTCGTTGAGAGTACTACGGAAGTAGTTGAGAACTAGTCTTTGGTAGACCAGTCGGATTCTTTTCCACACCCTGCGGACACCTTGTAAATGGCCATGAACTCACTTGAGCCACCCAGGCTACAGACGAGAGGAACGAACACTGTTATGAAACAAGATTACGAGAATAAATCAGAGAAGCCCGGGGTACCTCGCACACAAACCGTTGGACATGCGTTCGGCTCCGTTTTCCTACATGTCGCACGTAAGCGTTGAATGGCCGTTTCTCAGCATCGACTCATCGACATCCATCCATTGGGTCTATTCCAAAAAGGACCTGCCAAATAAAGCGTCGTTAAATTTAAATGAAGAGGGCCTTTGTTGTTACTAGTATAGCTTCTTGTTACTATACTAGTAATGGCCTCCAACCTAATTACTGTAGTAGTCATGGCCTTCACCCTAGTAGCGATGGCCTCCACCTAGTCAGTATAATGCCCTTGATACGTTCGCAGCGATGCAGATCCGAACGGCGCACCACGCACCTC